GATGGATGGATGGACAAATGGATGATGGATGACAGATGGATGGATGGATGAATGGATGGATGGATGGATGATGGATGACAGATGGATGGATGGATGGATGGATGGATGGATGGATGGATGGATGGATGGATGGATAGGTGGATGGATGGATGGATGGACGGATAGGTAGATGGATGGACGAACAGATGGATGGATGAATGATTAGGCAGATGGATAGATGGATGGATGGACAGATAAATGGACAGATGGATGGATGGACGGATAGGTAGATGGATGGATAAATGGACAGATAGATGATGGATGGATGGACAGATGGATGGATGAATGGATGGATGATGGATGGACAGATTAATGGGCAGATGGATGGATGAACAGATAGGTAGATGGATGGATGAATGAATGGATGGACAGATACGTAGATGGATGGATGGATGGATGGACAGACAGATGAATGGACAGATGGATGAATGTAGGGATTAATGAATGGATGAACAGACGGACGGATGGATAGCTGGGCAAATGGAGGGATAAATGTTTGGACAAATGGAAAGATGGATGGATGACAGATGGCTGGCTGGCTGGCTGGCTAGATGGATGGATGGATGGATGGATGGATGGATTGACAGAGACATGGACGGATGGAGGGATAAATGGATGGCCAGATGGCCTGTTCTGTTGAAGAAACAAAGTAAACGAGCAGCGTGGTGGTAAAGTGTAGAAGTTAATTATGAGCTAATGGAACGTTCCATCAAACCAGTGTTTCTTGTTTGAGAAATGTTTGTTCTATAATCCTGAGCAGTTTAAAAACCTGGACAAAGACTTCTGCCCTCTTCTTCATCCTCTGTGGTCTGTGGCTGACGTCACAGTTGAGAATTCAGTCATAACTAAGAACATCATTTCAGAAATGACCAGACTTTCCCTTTAAGCCTGATTTTAAGGTAGTTCCACAAGAGAGGAGCCTGAGAACTGAAAGCACTGCCTCCCATTCTGCTTTTGGAAACTCTAGAAACCACAAGTAAACCTGTAGTCTGAGAGTGAAGTGCTCTGTTAGGAGAGTATGGAACAATAAGATATGTAATATAAGATGGAGCTAGGTTGTTGAGAACTTTGTAGGTTAGAAGTAAGATTTTGAATTCTATTGTGAATTTCACAGGGAGCCAATGGAGACAAGCTACAACTGGAGAGATGTGATCTCTCCTTCCACCTCTCATCAGAACTGTAGCAGCAGAACTTTGGATCAACTGAAGACTCGTTAAAGTGTTTTCATACATGTCAGGACTGATGTTTCCCTTGAGCACACTGTGTTCTAGAAGCTTCATCCAGATGTCTGTTTTGGTGCAGTTTGCTAGAAGTCCTTGTCAGTGGGCCTGCAGGGTGGTGCAGTACTCTGAGCACAATTGAACAGATGGCACTAATTAAACCCACTGACTCAGAAATTACTGTAGTATTCTTAAGTTTTGCAGTGAGTTCCCTTTGACTCTGCACAGCTTTTTATACACCCCTCGAATAAAAAGGCAGATGTATAATGGTATAGATTTCTCTTTAAATATCCTGATGCATGCTCAATAATCCAGGTAGATAAATCTAACAAGGTTTAAAGAAGAAGAAGAAAATGAAGAAGAAGAAGAAGAATCTGTCCAGTTGACCTCACTTAACCTTATTAGACTCATCTGTAAAATTTCTCTGGGCCATAACTTAAGATATTTAAACTTCGATTACTTAACAAGTTATCTTTTCATCACCCCAGCTTTAAGATCAAAGGTTATAAAAAGTCTTTGACCTGGCCGTTGCTATGTGCTGGTCATAAAATTAGAATATCATAAAAAAGTTGATTTATTTCAGTAATTCCATTCAAAAAGTGAAACTTGTATATTATATTCATTACACACAGACTGATATATTTCAAATGTTTATTTCTTTTAATGTTGATGATTATAACTGACAACTAATGAAATCCCCAAATTCAGTATCTCAGAAAATTAAAAAATTACTTAAGACCAATAAAAAAATGATTTTTAGAAATGTTGGCCAACTGAAAAGTATAAACATGAAAAGTATGAGCATGTAAAGTATGAGCATGTGCAGCATCAATACTTCGTTGTTGCTCCTTTTGTCTGGATTACTGCAGTAATGCAGCGTGGCATGGAGTGGATCAGTCTGTGTCACTGCTCAGGTGTTATGAGCCCAGGTTGTTCTGATAGTGACCTTCAGCTCTTCTGAATTGTTGGGTCTGGTGTGACACATCTTCCTCTTCACAATACTCCATATATTTTCTATGGGGTTAAGGTCAGGCAAGTTTGATGGTCAATTAAGAACAGGGATACCATGGTCCTTAAACCAGGTACTGGTAACTTTGTCACTGTGTGCAGGTGCCAAGTCCTGTTGTAAAATGAAATCTGCATCTCCATAAAGTTGGTCAGCAGCAGGAAGCATGAAGTCTCTAAAACTTCCTGGTAGACGGTTGTGTTGACCTTGGACCTCAGAAAACACAGTGGTCCAACACCAGCAGATGACATGGCCCCCAAACCATCACTGACTGTGGAAACTTGACACTGGACCTCAAGCAACATGGATTCTGTGCCTCTCCTCTCTTCCTCCAGACTCTGGGACCTTGATTTTCAAAGGAAATGCACAATTTATTTTCACCAGAGAACAAAACTTTGGACCACTCAGCAGCAGTCCAGTCCTTTTTGGCTTTAGGACAGGTGAGATGCTTCTGACGCTGTCTCTCGTTCAAGAGTGTCTTGACACAAGGATTGCAACAGCTGAAACCCATGTCTTGCATACATCTGTGCATGGTGGTTCTTGTAGCACTGACTCCAGCTGCAGTCCACTCTTTGTGAATCTCCACCACATTTTGGAATGGGTGTTGTTTCACAATCCTCTCCAGGGTGCAGTTATCCCTATTGCTTGTACACTTTTTTCTACCACAGCTTTTCCTTTTCTTCACCTCTCTATTAATGTGCTTGGACACAGAGCTCTGTGAACAGCCATCCTCTTTAGCAATGACCTGTTGTGTCTTGCCCTGCTTGTGCAAAGTGTCAATGGGTGTCTTTTGGACAACTGTCAAGTCAGCAGTCTTCCCATGATTGTACAGCTACAGAACTAGACTGAGACCATTTAAAGGCTTTTGCAGGTGTTTCGAGTTAACTAGCTGATTAGAGTGTGGCACCAGGTGTCTTCAATATTGAACCTTTTCACAATATTCTAATTTTCTGAAACTTTCTTAACCATTAAAGTGTATTTATTAAGGAAAGTTAAACTGAGACACACCTTTACTATAATGTTGAGTAAACAAATAATTGTTTTTAAGTGTTAATCTTGTTCAATTCTAGTCCTTCCGTGCACACTCCCGCATCCGCCATTTCGCATCCAATCAATTTTTGGCACTTCACCAGCCCACATTTCCGGGTGGTCAGCGGTGATCCATAATAGGTGCAACTTATAGTAAGGCAAAGTGACGTATTTATGTTTTTCCACTTTATTAGACATAATTGAACTGATGCGACTTTTAAGGCGGTAAGTACGGTAAATAGTTTTTTCATGTTGCTGCACACAAGCTTTTTAACACAGTGGTATTTAAATAAAAACTTCTGGTGGAACTACGAGGCAGCTGCTAGTTATGAAAACAATCCAAGAAATGAAGCCATAATAGAAACTATGTAGAATAATTTGTCTAAATGCAGAAACACTCTGATAAGTGACAAATGTTCAGGTTGCGCTGTATGATGATGGAGTGTTAGTGACATTGTTGAACTTGATCTTTACAGTCTCCTGTGCTAAAGGCCCAGACTGTCACCATCTCAGACGTCTCCAACTCCCTACGAGGAACCGTGGCCTACAAGGACGTCCCGTTAGTTCACACTGAAACCAAGACCATCACCTACGAGTCTGCACAGGTGAGGAGAACGGAGGGAGATGCAACCTCCACAGTGACTTCAGGTGTTTGTAGGCTGATGAGAGCGGACAGAGCTCCACAGTAAACATTAGACAAGAATCCTTTAAAGAATGCGTATCACCCGCCACCTTTCATTCCACTGTTGGAATTAAAGATCATCTTTTGTGGAGCTTCTGGTGACAAGAAGCCTGCACTGACACTTTGGTGATGGTCTGAGCTCACAATAAATATTTCAGCCTGAATTAGGAGTTAAGATTTTGTATTTTTACAAGTTTACATGTGTAAGATTCTGTAATTAAGCATATAAAGGTTTCTGACAAAAAAAAGTTTCTCATGACCTGAACCTGTTTGAGGCAGCTGACAGCAGGTCCAGCCCCATGGGGCATGATACAAGCTTCGTTTTGGACAGGTGACCAGTTTAAATGCGGACAGCTAACCATTCAAACACAAGAACCTCTTCTAACGTCTGTGTAGCTGCACCAGGACCTGAACACACTAAATCTCATTTGAGCTCTGTCTGAGTGAAACAACCTCCTCTTTCAGACGTCCATTGTTCTGAGAAAAAGGGATCAACTACAAGTTATACAAAATACCAGAAAGCAGTTTTTTTTAACCAAACATGGTTTTAAACATTGGTTGCAGACTTCAGGCGCTTTTTGTCCTTTGTCGTGGAGCAAAGAGAAGAAACTGAAAACACCCTCTGTCCGTCTGTGCATGTTGTGAACACGATAACTTGAAAAATAAGTGAGGTACCATTTTTCCTTTTTGGGGTGTGGCTGCATTTACGAGTAAGAAAGGTTTCTTTCACAACTTGGGTTGCATCAAAATCCAAGATTGCTGCCACCATATAAATGTTTATATATGTACCAGTAAATAGAAACTATGCATTCTAGTTTTTATATTGCTTAAAAGTATATCAAACATTTTTCAGTCAGGTCATCTGGACAGTTTATTTATTTTTTTCTTCTGAAATGTTTCATCTTCCATCCAGAAGGCTTCATCAGTCAAGGAAACACACAACACAAAACTGATTTTTCCCCCAACAGCTTACTCCAAAGTGGAACAAACCAGTTATGTTGGTGCTAAGATGGTGTCTTTGGCACACCCCCACCTCTGTTGCCGGCACTCTTCCTCGTCGACAGTCATGTCAAACTGGTTCAAAACAACACAGTCCATGCTCATGAATCCAGGTATACAATCCAATCCAGGTGAAACGTTTCAGCACAAAAAAAAGAAACTGTCCAGATGACCTGACTGAAAAATGTTGCATTTTATACTTGGATTATTGAGCATGGACTTTATTGCTTAAAAGTATATTTTCCTCAAATGATTTGGGTGGCCCAAGATTTATCTGAGGGGGCCATGGCCACCATTGGCCAACCCCTGGCTCCTTCATTGCATCTGGTAGTGGATAAAATGTCTCCCTCCACTCGCCAGGATCCGTCACTGCGCTGCCTCTGAAAAGAAGAAGAAAAACTAGACTCCAGACTCTGGGACCTTGATTTCCAAAGGAAATGCAATATTTACTTTAACCAGAGAACATAACTTTGGACCACTCAGCAGCGGTCCCAGGCGAGACGCTTCTGATGCTGTCTCTTGTTCAAGAGTGACTTGACACAAGGAATGCAACAGCTGAAACCCATGTCTTGCTTACATCTGTGCGTGGTGGTTCTTGAAGGAATGACTTCAGCTGCAATCCACTCTTTGTGAATCTTCCCCACATTTTGGAATGGGTGTTGTTTCACAATCCTCCCCAGGGTGCAGTTATCCCTATTGCTTGTACACTTTTTTCTACCACATATTTTCCTTCCCTTCGCCTCTCTATTAATGTGCTTGGACACAGAGCTCTGTGAACAGCCAGCCTCTTTAGCAATGATCTTTTGTGTCTTGCCCTCCTTGTACAAGGTGTCAATGGTCATCTTTTGGACAACTGTCAAGTCAGCAGTCTTTCCTATGATTGTGTAGCCTGCAGAACTAGACAGAGAGACCATTTAAAGGCCTTTGCTGGTGTTTGAGTTAATCAGCTGATTAGAGTGTGGCACCAGGTGTCTTCAACATTGAACCTTTTCACAATATTCTAATTTTCTGAGATACTGAATTTGGGGTTTTCATTAGTTGTCAATTATAATCATTAACATTAAAAAATAAACATTTGAAATACAGTATATCAGTTTATGCTATGTGTAATGAATGAATATAATATACAAATTTCACTTTTTGAATGGAACTACTGAAATAAATCAACTTTTTCATGATATTCTAATTTTTATGATCAGTACCTGTATATTTTAAGGTGTTTTAAACCATTCCCACACTTTTCAATGTCCCTAACACATTTCTAAACTCTTAAACCTTTAAAAAAATATTAATTTTATATGGGTACTCACCAGAGAAGATGAAGATGCAGAATTAGCTGTGCAGTACTGATGATGATGAAGGCGATGAAGGTGACGAAGATGAGATGTAACCAGGGGTTTTGGCTTCATCCTTCATAATAAAAGTGCAAGATGGCATCCTTTTCCAGAACAGGCCCATTTCGTCCACGTTAAAAACTTGTTCAGACAGGTAGATCCCCTCGGCGAACAGATCTTTGGACGTCATGTTAACAAACTCCTCCGCTCCTGCTGTATCAGCGGACGCAGCCTCTCCGTGCAGAGAAATACTCTTAAGTCCAAATCATTTTTTACATATGTCGAACCATCCCTTGCTAGCACTAAATGCAGTTGGTTCTATGGTCGAACCAGTCAAATTTTTGCATATATTTCAAATGGTAAATTATGGATTTATTAAAAATATATATATATTTTTTGTTGCCAAACTGCAATAAACTGAGTCCACAAAAGTCTAACTGTGAAGTAGCGAGGAACTACTGTATACACCTTAGAGCTGTCATTTCTAACCCAAACCCAGAGCCCGACCCAGATTCTGAACCGGGCTGGGCCATAATAATGGGATTAATGTGCAGGCCGCACCAGTCTCGGGCTTTGATGCGGTTTTACGAATCATACAACACAAATAAAACTAAATAAGAATGCACAATATAAAATTGTGTTAATCTACTTCTAGAGGAGGAAGCAGTAAGTTTATATGCTTACATTTTTTCACATAGTTCAGTTATTTAGTTTAAATGACAATACCTGATCTTTGTACCATATAATATATAGTTTTAAGTTTAATTTTGATTGAGATAAACCTTGTTAAAGTTGTGTTGTTTTGTGGGTCTGTAAACAACAAGGTCAATATACATATAAACATCATTTTAGTTTCCATTTATTTTACAGGTTGGGTTAGATTTGGTCCATCCACTTTCAGTCAGACCCACCTGGACTCATTGATGGCAGCACCACCAGTGCAACCATTCATGATGCTTTGACCCAACAGTGCTTTTCAGTTATTTAAAAAATGTGTTTTTAATCTTCTTCATAGATTTTTATCTGCCACCGTCTATTTGTGTTAAACATCCCATTTGGTTTTAAATTCCACCACAGCACACAGAGGGTTTAAGAGTTTTATTATATTTTTTTTTTAACCATTGTTTCTGGAAGCTCTGCAGTTTTAGTGTACAGTATTTTCATCCCCTTCAGTTGTGTTTACTACTCAGAACCACATTTTACTTTCACAGCTCCAACAGGTTGTTGGGATCAAAGGCACCGTTTTATTCTAGTTTAAATCTTTCGTTAAAAAGGAGATTTATCATTATTTAGAGAAGTGCTCATCTTCTGCTGCCATCCTGACTTGTGGGGTTCCTCACAGGTCTGTTCTCGGTCCACTGCACTTCAGTATATACTGTATATGCTGTCTTCAGGGTCCACTTTCAGGAAGCAAAACATCCCTTTTCATTGTTTAGCTGATGAGATCCAGGTCTGTGTGAAGTCGGAATGTATTAAACCTACTGAAACCACAACTGATCTGTCCATTAAATCTTGTTTTTAAACATCAACGCAAATTGGACAGACGTCAACAGCTTTGAAAAATAATGTAATGTCCTCAGTAATTTGTTTTTTGCACCACTGCTGTCTTTCAAACCAGAACAGACCAATACAGTTGCTTTTTCCATTGAACACTTATCTCCAAAGGTGGAGCTGTATCTCCCCGTCGAAGACCTGGAAGGAGGGATTCACAGCTGTAACGCTGTGTGTGCTGGGTTACATCATTGTTTACACACTGTGCAGAACTTGGACTTGATTTTAGGATCTTGCAGTTTGTTGTTAAAGTTTTTAATGGGCTATCTTTGTCATATTTTTATGATCCCCTGAATATCTACACACCATTTAAAGTCCACTGGCCTACCAACCAGATTTTCAATTTTCCAAAATTCTAATTAAAATTTAAAGATATTCTGGCTTTTTTAGTTGTTGCTCCAAATGTGTGGAATAGTTTACCTTTTATTACACAGATCCCTGAGACTGTTTGCTTGTGTTTAATGTGCTATAGAAATCAAATGGGCATTGGTTATTCATCAAGAGGTTATGGTCTTGCACAGAAATGTAGAACAGTATGTGATATTTACAGGTATTAGTTTTCTTTCCAAGGGAAGTATATTCTTTGTCTTGTTAGAGCACAGGGTCATTCTTTCTGTTCCAGCAGTCTTAAAGGTCTCGCTGGTTCTAGGTTGGTTCCATGAACCTGGTCACAATCACAGTTGTAGCCTAGCTATAATGGCAGCATGTCCAGTCCTGCTTTAAATTGTGGAAGTTTTTGAGTTTACACAAAACATCTGTAGTGAGGTCATGGTGGTTTATCATCCCAGTAGCAGCTGCAGCCTATCATGCTCATATTGTCAGGGGCCCTCTGTGTTCTTACAGACTTGTAGACTTCACTGAGAACCTTCAAAGACCATCCATCCATGTTCGGACTTCTTTTTACATTGCAGCAGGGTCATCATCCGTGTGAACTACGTTTGACATATAAATCATATTTCTGACAGAACTCTAATTGCCCCCCATCATGGAGCAAAGAGGGAAATTGGAAATACCCTCCATTCACCCATTGTGAGCTGGATAACTTGAAAAATAAGCAAAGCGCCAACTTTCTTTTTGGTGTGTTGCTGCATCTAGGTTTAAGCAAAGTCAAATCGAAAATTGGGTTGCCATGTCAAAATCCAAGATGGCTACCACCATATCTATTTGTTAACCAACCACCCTGTCGTTTGAATGAAATATGATTTCTAGTTTTTATATTACTTAAAAGTATACCAGTCGACCTGACTGAACAATGGTGGATTTTTTACCTGGATTATTGAGCATGAACTTTGATGACTTAAAAGTATAGTTTTGTCGAATGATTCGGGCGGCCGAAGATTGATTTATGTTGGCCAAGCACCCCATTGGCCACGCTCTGGTTCCATCATTGCACCTGGTGGTGGATAAAATGTCTCCCTCCACTCTCCAGGATCCATCACTGTGCATTGTCTCAGACAAGAAAAAAAAACCCTGTTCTTTTCCATAGTGTCACTCATAACTAACTGAATATCTAATGCCAAGATGACATAACATCCAGTTAGTGAACGTTAGACAAGTCAGAATTATATTGTGAAGTCTTTTTCACATTACACCCTATAATCCCTGGGTTTCACTGTCATTCCATCTCCACATGTCGTGTTAAACTTTAACATGGACACTTTCCACAGTTTACATACGTAATTGTTTCTAAATGTTTGAAAAACTTTTTTCTTTTTTGTTATCGGGTCTTCAGGTAAAACCAATATTCAAATGCTTGGCTCAAGACAGGACCCAATATTGAAATGTTTATTAAGCCAGGTCAGTACACCAGTGGTCAGCCACACATGCAAATATGTCCCAACTACAAAAGCTAAGACAAAGTTCAAACACGTTAAGTAGGTTAAGGGCTAGACTAATATTATTTATGCCCAATTTGGTGCAGATCAGATGGAAAAAAGGGATTTACACCAACATCAATTGTCTTGAAGCAACAGTGGAAATCACACAGTTCCAAAGAAACACACAGATACCGACAAAAATACAAGAAATGTAATTTATTCATCTGTAATCAGGTGTAGTTTGAGGTTCCTTTGGTCAACAGGTTGAGAATAAGGCCCACAAGTAAAACACAAATGTGTGTTATGTGCATGTTAAAACTTAACAACAAGAAGTGTAATCTTAAGATGTAACCTTACTCACATCATGTTTTAAAGAACTTCAGTTGTTAATAACATTTATTGCCTTAAAAGATTATCAATCAAGTTTAAAACTGATACTTTGTAATAGTTAGTTTGATTAAATATATGTGTAAAACACCAGAATGGTGTCTTTGATCTAAAATTGTTGACTTCCTGTTGGATCTTGGAGACTTTTTTCCATGAGTTGTAGAAAATGCGTATGTAAATTGATAATTACGCATGAAACCAATCCAAGTGGGTATTATTCAAGGTTTTGTAATTATGGGGATATGTTTAAGGCAGTTTATTTCATATAAGCATACAAAGAAAGGTTTGTGTTTCAGTGGGGCCTTCAGTAGGTACATCCTTCAGAGCTTGGTACTTCTTATAGACGAATGATCTTTCTACAGAAACTATGGCTAAGAAAGGAAAGTAGTTACCAATGTGATGACTAAAGCTCCTGGTGGTTTTCAGTCCACATGTTGTATCAGTAGATGTGAACCCCTGAGAGTTGATGATGTGATCATTGATGTGCGACATCCTAGTCTTTTGAATAGACAAAAAAGAAAACAATAAAACTACATATTTAACACAAGGCTCCAATTGTAATCAAGTCTGAATGCATGTTGTGTTAATACGTTCCTGAATAATGCTGAAAAGCTAATTTATCTCCTCAACAGCCTGTGGATAGCCTTCCAGAGAAGGACCCAGGAGTACTGCTGAGTGCCCAGACAATCACCTCTGAGACCGTCAGCACCACCACCACAACTCAGATCACCAAGGTCTGTGCACAGTCCCACAGCCAAGCAACATGAACACCTTAATCTGACACATGGCGGTGTCATAAAGGGACAAAACTATTCACGCACATAAAAAAGACCAGATCAAACTGAGATGACTTAAACAAAAATGTAAATGAAATGTTGGAAATTTCCCATCCCAAAGGGTCAGGGTAATGTCCAGATTATTTTCTCTTTAAGAAACCAGGGGATCAAAGACAGGATTCACAACAGAACCTGGTTCCTGAAATAATATAAAGTCAAAATAGCCCTTAAGAATCAACAAGGCATGTTACTGAAACGTGTGATTAGACCATGATCATATTCATTCATTTTTTTGTACTTGTCTAATTCTGTTCAGGGTCGTGGGGTCCAAGCTGTGTGCTACACCTTGGACAAGTCGCCAGTTCATCATAACACCAAATAACATAGCTTGCATGTTTTTGGATTGTAGGGACACAGAAACAACTCTCACGTGCACGGGAAGAACATGCATACTCCACACAGAAAGAGCCCAGGCAGGGTTTAAACTCCAAACCTCCTGGCTGTGAGGCAATGGCGGCCAACCACCGTTCTACTGAGCTGTCTGGTGTAACTATACAAACAGCAATATTCCATTTGTGGTGCTAGAAAAACGTGTACTAGTAAAATGATCCTTGAGCCACAAACAGGAGTTTTAAATGGAAGTGAACATGTTGCTGTGTTCATTCGTCCTCATCTGCTCACAGACTCATGTTTGTGCTGCTGTTGTTTTGGCACATTGTTTTTGTACCATTAGTGCTTAATGTATTCTTAGTTTAGTGAATGTAGTATATTCTTAGTTCATGACTCGGATCTTACTACGGTTTTGCTCTTTACAATTTGTACTTTTGTTGGGTGTAACTGGGACCCTGTGTACATAGTTTCGTTCCACCTCGTGCACCACATGTGATGTGAATGGCAATAAAAATCCTTGAATCTTGAACATATTCAAGAAAGTGTGGCTAAGTTAAATCCAACAAAACTCAAGCTAAACGTCCAAACAAAATGCGGCAACAGAACTTTATAGCTGAATGCATTGCTGCTGACATTTGAATGGTTCATCGATGTCGTAGGGGCAGCCATAGCCCTGGTGGAGCACTGAGAAAATGATAAAATGACATGACCTAATCAGGTTTCTGAAATGGTCTTGGGTCAGATGTGTGACCTCCTGTTTGTCGCTCCCCTTCCTGATGATGTTTGAGTCAAGCTGCTTCGCTACCTGTATTCACTTCAACTAAAATATTCTTTAGTAAGCCCCAGGAGGGAATTGTTTGGTTACAGCACTTCGTGAGAAGAGCAATAAAGGAAATGATAATAATGCACAGACAGATCTCAACACGGTGACTTAACTATAATGGAGAAACCAGAAAGAATAATAACAGAAAACACAATAACAGCTTGTTTGGTGTGGAAGTTATGTGGAATATGGTGAAAAGATAAATTGTTGCACCTGGAGTTCTCTCAGTCTGGAGCTGAACAATCTGCAGGCACGAACAGGAATGAGTTCCTGTGGCGTTCAGAGGTGCTTTGTGGTGGAGTCCATCAACTGCTAAATGTTTTTCTGCAGCTGGTCAGGAACCCGTAGAGTGGCTGTGGGTTATCATCTGACCTTCTTTATAGTTTCAACAGCCTCCTTCTCTTTGATCAAAGAGTTCAGGTCCACCCCAACAACATGAACGGGTTTTGGATCATTTTGTTCAGCCTGTTGGAGTTCAGTTCAATTCATTTATATACAGTGTCGCTCCAAGTCTCAGTGGAAGTTGTGTCAGTGCACTGAACAGAAACATTCACTTACATAAAAACGACAGTTTGTAAAAGTTCTCTATGTAAGGAAGCAGCAGACTGTGTTGGCTCGTCACTTTGTCGCAGTCTCCCATCCTGAGCAAGCACTAAGGAGACAGTGGAAAGAAAATGAACAGGAAGAAACCTCCAGCAGAACCAGGCTCAGGACGAGTGGTCATCTGCTTTGATCAGCTGGGTTTGAGAGGAACAGGAAGGAGGAACATGCAAACACAGAATGGCAGGTCCACATGTACTTTCTATATATTGAATCTTTCTACTCAATATTTTGGTGAATCTAAGATTTGAGAACTGTTTCCTTACACAATCCTAATGATGTCTTTATTTTTCAGGGGTACTGAGTTTAAATTTAAAGACGCTCAAATCACCACTGAAACCAGTTCATATTTACAACTTACTTTTAAACACTTTGGGATTTATAAGTGTGTTCTGTTAAAGGAAAATGTTATTCAGTGGCAGGAAGCTGCTGAGGGATGGTAGAAAGTCTGTCAAAATGAAATATAAAAATATAAATTAAAATTATTTTTAAAATACATAAATTATCTACTCTACTGTGTAATCTGTGTAGTTAAATTATGGTAGTCAGGCCAACTAACAATAAAGTTAATAGGTGAAGTCAGTGAGTGTAAGCACATTGATTCTTCAAAGGAAATTTTAATATAGTAATGAGGACAGCTTGGCGGGCCAACTTTGGCCCGCGGGCCCCACTTTGGGCACCCCTGAACTATAGGATTTATCAAAAAGGAAAGACTTAAGCCTAATATTAAAAGTAGACAATGTGTCAGTCTCACAGACAGAAACTGGAAGTTGGTTCCTCAAGAGAGGAGCCTGATAACTGAAAGATCTGCCTCCCATTCTGCTTTTGGAAACTCTAGGAACCACAAGTAAACCTGTAGTCTGAGAGCGAAGTGCTCTGTTGGGAAAATACAGAACAGTAAAATCTGTAATATAAGATGGAGCTAGGTTGTTGAGAACTTTGTAGGTTAGAAGTAAGATTTTGAATTCAATTCTGGATTTGACAGGGAGCCAATGGAGAGAAGCTAAAACTGGAGAGATATCTCTCCCACTAACTCCAGTTAAGACTCTGGCAGCAGCGTTTTGGATCAACTGAAGATTTTTTAACAAGTTTTTGGACACCCAGATAATAAAATAATTGCTCAGCTTTCTCAACTGGGAAATCTCAATCCAGAAAACTCCTCGGATGAGAAGTGAAACGTCTTCAGCTCCAAAATAGAAGTCCAGTTGTTTTTGTCTTTAACCTTTTATGAAAGATAATCTAAGTCACTGCTCTCTAGTGCATTACTCTGCAAGACATAGGAAAACAACAATGTAAGAGATTCTTTCAATTTGGTTGCAACGTCCTCTGATAAACACCTACTGGTATAATGAAATTTACTCTTAGTGGCTGTGCAGTCAGTTACTGTAAACTCAAACGTTATTTACAAATGGTCAGACAGAACAAGATTTTGAGGATGTATTATTAAGTACACTGTGTGTGTCACTGAGTGAGGAAAAATGATTTTAAACGTGACCAGGTCGGTAGTGAAGTGGGAGCTTAGCCTTAAGCACTAAACTTACGCTGGACCGTCACCCAGCCACCCTGGGGTTCCATCTGCTCAGAAACTGTTGGAAGACTACTAAAAGGAGCTAGTCTCAGTGACTCCCGCTGCCTAAGGGGACCTGGCTTGCTAATGGTTTTTCTATAGCGCAGAGCCAAGCATCCAGTTCATACATCCTCTCCTCCAAAGCTACTATAAGACTACATTTAATTCATGTACCATTATTGCTAAAGGAGGCAGAGGAATAACATCTGACACACAGAGCAAGTGAAAACAGAGGAATCCGGGAGAGAACTGGAAGTTATGCTAAATTAATGCTAGCAAGATCTAGCAGATCCCAAATACACTAATAAAAACCAGAAGTGTTGAAAGCTAAAAGGTTTTCAAGCACAATCCAATAGTAGAAAAACAACTGTATTGAGGGTGTTTGTGTACTAGAATGTAGAACTGTGCAAAAGATACCGGTAGATTTCATTCATTCATTCAACCTTTATTTAGACAGGTTAATCCCATTGAGCCTCGGGGATTCATTTACAAGAGAGACCTGAATTTTAACAAAGAATGATGACAACAGTGGACAACAACGACAACAACAGACGATCATAAAGGATGCGTACAAATTCAAAATTATTTTTTAACAAGTGAAAATAAAATGGTAATTTAGAGAATAATTAAAAGGAAAAGTAGTGGGAAAAGCAGCTAGGTTGTAGGGAGATGTAGAAAACTAAAAAAAGGAACATGTCTGCATTGGTTTTTGCTATGAACTTAGAAGATGTTTGAAGTCACTTAGAGAGGTCAAGGTCGAGATCTTTAGATCTTTTTGTAAGATATTCCAGGAAACAGGAGCGGAGTAGGAGAAGGCCCTTTTGTCTAGTTCAGTCCTCACTGAGGGGACACTGCAGGTAATAATGTTCTGAGAGCGCACGCTGTAGCTGCACTCACGCAGAGACATGTAGGAGGAGATGTATGAAGGCAGCAGACCAAGAAGTGATTTAAAGATGAAAATGTACCAGTGAGAGAGTCTGCGTGAAGTTAATGATGTCCAGTTAACCAATGAATACAGGGTGCAGTGGTGGGTACGATAATCACAGCCAGTTATGAATCTTAGTGCACCATGATAGACAGCATCCAACATCTGCAGGGTTCTTGTAGGAGCATTCAAGTAAATAATGTCACCGTAATCAATGGAGGGAAGGAAAGTCACAGATACAAGGTGTTTCCTAGCATTCAGAGTTAGACAGGATCTGTTTCTGAAAAAGAAACCCAGTTTAACTTTCAGTTTCCTTACTAGGTTTTCCACATGGAGCTTAAAAGAGAGATGCGAATCGACCAAATATTAATAGGAATTGACAAACTCAATAGGAACACCATTTGAGGATGAAATCAGAGGAAGAACTGCTGGAACCGACTTCTAAATGCATGCTTCTAAATGGGACTAAATGCAGTTGTTGTGTGTCATCACTGATCTTTTCTTATGTGCGGGTGGTTGGTATGCCGTCAGTACATCACTTAATTGAGCCTCAATGCCAACTTACCTTTCACATGTTGATTGTTACAGCACTGTTACTACCTTGTTGGACAAGATAAAGGTGCATTAGCTGTGGGCCATTCAGAAATATCACT